TCCAGCCCCGGGGCGCACGCGGTGCAGTGCCCGGCCGACTGGTCACATTCGGCACACTCGACATCGCACATCTGGCACTCGCCCCCGCCGGCGCCAGTCCCATCGACGGTTCCCGCGTCGGCGAACCAGCCAGCTGGACAGCCCGGCTGGCAGGTGCCCTCCGGAGTGAGCCACTGCCCGGCTGCGCAGGTCAAGCACCGGGTGGCCGTGCACGTGCGGCAGCCAGACCCACAGGCGACACACTCCCCGGGGCCGACGGTGCCACTGGCCCACCGGTGGCCGGCCGCGCACACGGTGCAATTGTCCTTGCTCCCGGAGCAGAGGGCACACGAAGGGTCGCATGCGGCACACCGGTTGGCCGCCGCCGGGAGGAAGTCCCCCGCGGCGCAAGTCGACCCGCAGATGCTGGCCTCATTGGGATCGGCATCCAAGAATACCAGCCCCGGCCGACAGGCCGTACAGGCGCCAGCCCCCCCGGCGCAGGTGTGGCAGGAAGCATCGCACGGAGCACAAGCACCGGAGCCATTCGGGAAGAAGCCCACACGGCAGTTGGTGCACTTGACTGGCGACAGACACGAGGCACAGCCGGTCGGGCAAGCCAGGCAGGATGAGCTGGCTTGGTCGTTCCAGAAGCCCGGCGGGCATGAGGTCACACAGCGGTTCTCGTGCCAGGGCATGCCTGCCGGGCAGGTCAAGCAATCGGCGCCGGTCGGCCCGGTGCAGGTATGGCAGCTGAAATGGCAAGGCAGGCACACCCCGGCCGGTGTTGGCGCCGCCGCCGGGTCCACCTCGAGGAAGAACATATCCGGGCAGGCCGTGCACATGTGCCGGTCCAGGCTGGGGATAAGGCCACAGGTGTCGCACACCCCCGAGCACGGGGTACATCCACGGTGCGGCAGGGGCGTCGTGTCGGGCGGGCACTCCACCAAGCACACACCCGGCTGGTGAATGTGCCAAGCCCGACAAGCCAGGCAATCCTCCGGGCCCGGGCCCGTGCATTCATCCAGGCAGGATGCGTGGCATGGCTGACAGAGCGAGCCAAAGCGCCCGGCCGGGCAGGGGGCCACTGCCAGGTCCATACGCAGCACCTGCTGGCCCGAACATGCCAGCAGGAAGGACACACTGGGGCCGGAGGCCCCGTCAAGGGCCCCAGCCCCGGGCGGGGCCCCGGAAAAGGGCACAATGGTCATGGCACTTACGGTTGAGGAGAAGTTGATCGGCAGGGGGACGCTGACCCCGGGCAGAAGGCGACATAGGGCCGCCCCGCCGGCCGGGCAGTGGAATGAGGAGAAGTTGATCGGCAGGGGGACGCTGACCCCGGGCAGAAGGCGACATAGGGCCGCCCCGCCGGCCGGGCAGTGGAACATCGAAACCACCACCTGGTTCGACAGCAGCAGCAGCAGAGCCGACGGGAAGTCCGGCAGGCCGAGGGTCAGGGCGAAGATGCCGCCCAGTTGGACGGCCGGCGGGACCTCAAACAGCCTGTGCCGGATCTCGTGCAAGTCGGAGGTGCGACCATGCGGCCGCGTGCCAAGCGGACCATACCTGGCCTCCCAGAAGGTGCTCGTGCTCTGGCCGGTCATCCCGGTCCAAACGGTCTCGAAGGCCGGATCGCCATGTCCGGTGGCCAAATTCAGCACCGAGAAAGATCGGAAGAGCACACGTTGCCGGATCTCGTGCAAGTCGGAGGTGCGACCATGCGGCCGCGTGCCAAGCGGACCATACCTGGCCTCCCAGAAGGTGCTCGTGCTCTGGCCGGTCATCCCGGTCCAAACGGTCTCGAAGGCCGGATCGCCATGTCCGGTGGCCAAATTCAGCACCGAGAAGCCGTGCGGTGCGGTGACCATCGGGCGCCAGGCGAATCGCGGGTCCCTCTGCCCGACGACCGTCAGCGGCGCCAGATACAGCGCGCCCATGGAGTCGCCCAGGATCGACCAGACGGCCTGGTTGCCTGGGGGAGCGGGGTCCGGGCCGAGAGCCGGAACCGGCGGCCCAGCCTGCGGGACGGTCGGCAACACATTGATCGTCTGAATGGACACCTGGCCGGTGTCATCCTTCACCTCGAAGGCCACATACTGCCCCAGGTAGGCGGTCACCCGGCGCTCGTCGAAGGCCCGAATGTTGTAGCAAGCCCCGGAGGAAAGCAAAATCGGCGAGCTGCTGGCGGAGGGGCAGGAGGCCCCCTGACCGCCGATGCCGCACCGCAGGATGGTGTAAAAGAGGCTGTTTTGCGAACACGAAAAAAGCACCAGCACCTGGGCCCCCTCATGGTTGAAGGGGCCCAATTCCACCAGGGACGTGGTGGTCGCGTGCGGCAGGGGGGCCCACACCAGTGGCAGAGGCTCGACATCGGAGGTCGACCCGACTGGCTCGATGTCCCGCCCATTGAACCAGGCCACCTGTCCGGTGGAGAGCATGGCAAAGTAGTGGTACTCGGCCGGGGGAAAGGCCATCGGCAGATGCAGCACGCCCTCCTTGACCATGATCGACGTCCGGGCCAGGCCGACGATCGACAGGGTCACATCTGCCGGCGGGGTGGCCGGCTGAAGCTGGAACTGGATGGCCGGCTTGGCGGTCTCCCCCATGCAGTGATCCATCCCAGCCCGGGTGCCTTCCGGGCAGGTGGCCACACACCGGGTGGTCTGGCCCTCGGTCAGGAGAAGCAAATCCCCCCCGCAGGCCAGGCAGGTATCGCCGATGCAGGCGTCGCAGCCACTCGGACAGGCGACGCACTCGAAGACTACACCGCACCAGGGCCAGGGTCAGTTACAGGAGGACGGGTCTTCTGGCGCGGAAGAGCAAAAGCAGCCCCCCCCCCCCCCCGCCCCTTGGCCCGGATGGAGGGAAGTATCTGCCGGCCCCCAGACCAGGCCCGGCGCCATGCATTGGCCGCCGGGCAAGTGGCGCACCATTGGGGTCCTGCCCGTCAGGCTGGAGGAAGTAGCCGGCCGGGCAGCCGGAGCACAGGCGATTCGGCAGGCGCATGGGCGACAAGACCTGGCCGGGGATGCATGTCCAACCCTCGGGCGAGGTGGCGCCCAGCCGGCCGGGGACCATCGGATCACAGGTGATCGAGTGGTCGACGGCACACTTGAATTGCTCCGGAGTGTACAGCCCCCGCAGGCCGTCGGTCATGATCCACTGGTTGAGCGAGCCACTGAAGAAGGCCTGCACGGTTGTCGCATCCGACGAGGAGGGCAGGGCCACCGGCTGCCAGGTGATCGGGCTCCCGAAGGACACCCGCCAGAGGGCCGGCCGGGAGGTGACACGGGCATCGGCGGCGCCCGGCACGGTGGCCCCGGCGGCGCTCGGCGGCGAATGGTCCAGGTACAGCACCCACCCGACCGGCGACCGGGTGTCGGTGGAGGGCACATGCACGATGCGCCCATCGTTCGACACCTCGGCCGGCAGAGTCCCAGCATAGACCGCGGTGTCGGAGTCAATTTCCTCATCGAAGTTGAGCAGCACCAGGAAGGACCGGTCATCGAAGAGCACCAGCACATCCTCACGCCGGGCGCTCGTGGCGAGGACGCGCGTGGCGGCGAAGTCCACGATCTGACACGAGGGCATGGCTTGGAGAACCAGGTCCAGGCTGCCGGAGGACCCCCGGGTCACGGTGTACAGGGCGGAGTTGACCCAGGCGAAGATGACCCGGCCAGCCCCGGCGCGGAAGTGCCCGGCCGCGGTCAGCGGTGCCTCAATGGCGAATGTGCGCGGCGAGCCATTGTCATACTCCACCAGGCGATGCTGCCCGGAGGCGTCCCGCGCCACCAGGAAGGGGTCCGATGAGCGGAAGGATATCGCCACCGGCCAGAGCCCCGGGCCATAGCTCAAGGCCCGCGAGTCGTGGGTGATCGTCAGGTCGGAGTTGGTGCGCAGCATGAAGGCCGGCGAGCTGTCGTAGGTGGGCAACAGCTGGACCTCCTGGCCGATGGTCTGCGTGTTTCCGAAGACCAAGGTCGAGTAGCCGAAGCTCGAGCCCCATCGGTGGTCGGGATTCAGCTGCGTGTCTAGAGAGGCTTGCTGAAAGAGAAGGACCTGGGATTGGATGAGGTTCGCTGCCAATTGGGTGCCCTGATTGCTGCCGGTGAAGTCCGCCTGGTAGGTGGGACTGTCGATGGTGCTCATGTCCGTCACGCCGCGAAGCAGGACCAGCGGCTGGGAGGACACCAGCGAGGGGACTGTGTCGACCGGCCGAGAGGAGAACGACAGGGCCCCCTGAGCGCAGGTGGTAGCAGTTGTGGGGAGGATGGACTGCGCACGGAGGGCTCCGGCCGAAAGGGCCACCAGAGCCACCAGGGCCATCATCACCCGGCGTAGAGTCATCTTGCCGGGGCCGATCGCGCCCTTGCCCATGAGCCGGGGGGGGGGGGGGGGGGGGGGG